GCGGGATTCGAACACCGGTGCATCGCTACATACGAATGCACCGGACGTCTTATCCTTTAGGCCACGAATAAGAAGACTGCTTTTGAGAACACGGAAACTTAAAAAAACCATTTGATACGTTTAAGTGCGGCGCCGCTGGACACTTCAGAAAGCCATGAACAGGATTACAGTCAATAAGCCGCGTAACGTGGCTCGCACCGACCATTCCGTGCTTAATGAAACACTTCACAAGTCCTCATCTGTTTAATTGGCCTGTTAAATGCATCTAACAATAGTAAGTAGACATACGCAGATTTAGGAAAATGTAGGTTCGACTTTAGTATGCAAATGTTCGTTTTTCGCTCAACGTTTTTTAACAGTCTCTAGACGTACGCTGGTTTTTGAGGGAATTAGTTTCGACTTTAGTATGTAAATGTTCGTTTTTCGCTCAACTCATTTTAACAGTCTCTAGACGTACCTACGCTGGTTTTTGAGGGAATTAGTTTCGACCTTAGTATGTAAATGTTCGTTTTTCGCTCAACGTATTTTAACAGTCTCTAGACGTACGCTGATTTTTGGAAAATTAGTTTCGACTTAGTATGTAAATGTTCGTTTTTCGCTCAAGTTATTTTAACAGTCTAGACGTACGCTGGTTTTTGAGGGAATTAGTTTAGACTTTAGTATGTAAATGTTCGTTTTTCGCTCAACGTATTTTAACAGTCTCTAGACGTACGCTGATTTTTAGGGTATGTAGGTTCGACTTTAGTATGTAAAGGTTCCATTTTCGCTCAACGTATTTTAACAGTCTCTAGACGTACACTGATTTTTGAGGGAATAGTATGTAAATGTTCATTTTTCGCTCAACGTATTTTAACAGTCTCTAGACGTACATTGATTTTTGGAAAATTAGTTTCGACTTAGTATGTAAATGTTCATTTTTCGCTCAACGTATTTTAGCACTCTCTAGACGTACGCTGATTTTTGGGGTATGTAGGTTCGACTTTAGTATGTAAATGTTCCATTTTCGCTCAACGTATTTGAACAGTCTCTAGACGTACGCTGATTTTTGGGGTATGTAGGTTCGACTTTAGTATGTAAATGTTCTATTTTCGCTCAATGTATTTTAACAGTCTCTAGACGTACACTGATTTTTGAGGGAACTAGTTTCGACTTAGTATGTAAATGTTCGTTTATCGCCCAATGTATCTTAATAGTCTAAAATTTGCTTCATACATAACATTACCCGTATCATCAAACTATTAATTTAATTGATTCATATTTGATAAATGATAGTTTTATTACAGTTTACGCTATAACATGTCCTTCTTCAAACGAGGTCTGTGGAGAGTATTAAACGGTAGGCAGCGGGTTTGGCTCTGCCCCTGACATTGTTGAAGTCCATGAGCGAGGGTAACCACTCACCATCAGGCGGGCCGTATGCTCGTCTGCCTACAAGGGCAATAAAAAAAGTTTATTTTAATTTTTAAGGTTTATTATTGCGTTTTTTAAAGTCATTATATTATTTGCAACATTTCGAATACTTAACATTTTTCCCGACATTAAACAGTAATAGCAGGTTTAATTTTGTCTGAAGTAGATACTATAATGTTGTTATCTTTAATTATTAATTATTGATTCCTCCTGTTTTCTCTGAAAATGTTTTGGTTCATCATGTTAATGATATGTTAATATCATATTCCTTTTAATTTCTAGACACGAAAAGGGATTCTTTCGTTCTACAAATAGCAATAAAATTCGTCATAGACATCGCTAAGGGTGTCCACACAACAATGTGCGTACGTAAGACTTGTTTACGGGCCATAAAATGAGCGCTTACAACCCCCTTGGGTATTACACAAAATTTATGTACAAGGTTAAGAAGTCCGTGAAATTCAACAAATATCTTCATGGTATACAAATGAGGATGTTAAGAAGATTTTCCATTATTTAAACCTTAACTTTAAAATATGTATACATAAGTATTTTATGATGTCATAATTATGTATATTGTCCGTCCCTGAAATGAAGGGCACGTGTCAGAAGTCACTCGTTCCAAGTCAGAAACATTACAGATCGTTTATCCTCCTCTAACTCTTAAGTAAATAAGAAAGATAAAGAAATAAACTTGACAAACACCGTTCTCTACCATAATTTACTGGTGGTAGGACCTCTTGTGAGTCCGCACGGGTAGGTACCACCGCCCTGGCTATTTCTGCCGTGAAGCAGTAATGCGTTTCGGTTTGAAGGGTGGGGCAGCCGTTGTAACTATACTTGAAACCTTAGAACTTATATCTCAAGGTGGGTGGCAATTTACGTTGTAGATGTCAATGGGCTCCAGTAACCACTTAACACCAGGTGGGCTGTGAGGTCGTCCATCCAAGTAAGCAATAAAAAAAACCTTAATATTTAGATCACAATTCAACATATAATTAAATTCCCTATATTAATTCAAATAGCAAAACTTCAAAACAATAACAAAGATAAGAAATCCGTTGGCATTCGCAGTTGTTGCGCATGTGTCATTACTTAAATGAGTACCATTTTACAAATATAAGTCCTCAATATTTCGCCGTATCGACGTCACTCAAGATAATAATAATATAATTCGTAACGCTCTTTCTGTTGTAGGAATAATTTGTTTATGTTTTCAAAAGCGGTCGTGTAATTAAGGATAAGATGCCGACGTACACGTATAATATTTAGCAATACGATTGTTGTGCCTGTGTTCAAATCCCGCTTGGTAGATACCAATTTTTCTTCGTACGTACTAAAAGTTATTGACGGATATATAATACCTACATCTGGGTAGTTACTAGAGACAGAGTGGACTGTTCACCCAATAATGCAATAAACAAAGCAATTAGGTATTATTTAGAAACATTACAAATAGTGGTGGCATCTTTAGCCTAGGGTTTAGTGTTCGAGTTAGATCTTGGGTTAAAGCAAAAGGCATTTGGGTTTTGTTATCTGAGTGGGCTTGTCTTGTACGTTTCTGGTACACATGATACACCAGAAAACCATTCAGGACGATGAATATTTAAAGTAAGTTGCATATTCCGATATTTTTTAATTAATTTTCAACACAAACAACCCTAGTTTCTAATACACTAATTTGTTTGCCAGATAAAATTACGTGAATCGTCAATTCTGCTTTAATAGCCAATGCTCGTCCAACAATCCAAACATTTTATGGAGCATAAAATCTAGATTATTGCGAAGTGCCTACGACTAATCAAGTCGTTAAGACATCTTCCTAAAGATCCATATAAATCGTGACCAAATGTGGATTGAGTATTTTACAAAATTTGCAATTGGAACACGTAATTCTCAAGATGATAACTAACTATTAACGTATCGATTTAAATAAATAAAAAAACGCATTAATATTAATAGGTATACAGATCATATAAAGAATTATATTTATTGCCTAGATAGGTGAACGAACTCACCGCCCACATAGTTTTATATGATTATCGGAATTCAATGTTAATATGCATGCCGCCACTCATTCTGAGGTTAAGTCCCGATCCTCTATGTAACGGCAATCCCACCTTAAAACTCAAAAGCATGACAGCTTGGGGGCAGAAGGAGGTGGGTCAATAGTATATAATACAAGTGCGGGCTTACAATACACAACCTACTACCTTACATATTAAAATTATTCTCCGTGGAAGTCATTCGTGAATATAAGGTCCGATACGTTTTTCGTTGGAAAAAATTTATACATGCCTGCGGAGTTTGAGCATTGGTAGAATCGCACGTAAACTGGAACTTTTTATTATTTCGACAATATGATTTCTTTAGGTAAACTTTTTTGTGGTATTCATTACATAATATTTGTGTTGGAAACGCCCACATATTAATTTCACTGAGCAATTTCTAGCTAACTAACTATTTCTGACCTAACTAATTCAGATTCAGTTCAGGACAACCTTATTATAATAAGATTTTGATTTCCATCTCATGTCGCAAGATTGACGGTGATCTTTACTGAGGAGTATAGGCTTTACAAATCACGGTCATTTGCCCATTTATACTACAATCATAATAATAACGAATTACAACTTTTTGTATTAAAATATTCACATTAAACTTAGTCACGTGCTAATAAACAATCGATATGCCATTATTTTTAATGGAACGTAAGATAAAAAGTTCACAGTATTGTTTGCGACAGGATTGAAAACAAAACTAAGAAATGAAATGTCTTTAAGGCGCAAAATAAGCGTTAAGGTTAAGTCATTCTATTAATTTATTCTGGGTAAGGCTTGTTACTAATGACGTATGGCCATCATATCTCCCGCGTGTTTTCCATCATGCGTTTCAGCAGTTTGGTGGTGGCAGGAAGTCTTGTGGACTAACAGTAGGACGTTTTGTGAGTCCGCACGGGTAGGTATCACCACCCTGCCTATTTCTACCGTGGAGCAGTAATACGTTTCGGTCTGAAGGGTAGGGTAGGTAGGGCAGCCGTTGTACTGTAAAAACTGAGACTTTAGAACTTATATGTCAAAGTGGGTGGCGGCATTTACGTTGTGGATGTCGATGGGCTCCGGTAAACATTTAAAAACAGGTGGGCTGTGAGCTCATTCACCCATTAAAGCAACAAAAAAAAACGTATGTATTACATCTTAAGTGCTAAAGACTATTGGTTTAAAAACGATCACTTAATGTTGTAAAATTTCACCGATTTTCATAGTAAGCTGTCATATACCATACACTAATAGAACGATTTAATTTGTTTTGTTTACAAACTTCGTAAGCACAGAATTTTCTTATCACTCTCTGCTTTGCCTGTAGCAAGTAAGCAGTGAAAAGGTTCAACTTAAGGTGACACGCTGTTTTTAAATTTTAAATTCAAATCGCTTTTATTTATGGACAATGTCAGAACAATTGTAATTCTACAATTTTAATGTTTATAACGATAATGATTTTCTTCGAATGACTCAATTGAACTTTGACTCTAGATAGTGCGAGTTTATAAATAAGTTAAACTGTCTCTATTATAGCAGTTTTGTTTATCCGAGACGTTCTCGAATACGTATTTGTGTTGGGAAGGTTGGTGAGTGAAAAATCATAAAAATGAAAGTTTGTGTCTTATTTGCAATTTTTACAGTGAGTAATGTTCTATTTTTAAACAGTTTGATTTAGGATTCTGTTTGAAAAATTCGACTTTTGTTTTACCTACATAAAATTTTAGTATCATATTTCAATAACATGTAAATAACATGACCCAGGCAAAGCCAAGTTTTATTTTATTTTATTTTTTATTGCTTAGATGGGTGGACGAGCTCACAGCCCCCCTGGTGTTAAGTGGTTACTGGAGCCCATAGACATCTACAACGTAAATGCGCCACCCACCTTGAGATGTAAATTCTAAGGTCTCAGTATAGTTACAACGGCTGCTCCACCCTTTCAAACCGAAACGCATTACTGCTTCACGGCAGAAATAGGCAGGGCGGTGGCACCTAGTCGTGCAGACTCACAAGAGGTCCTACCACCAGTAAATCTGCTAGTTATTAAATACTAGTGTACTGAATGTTGTAACAGTTAGCATTATGGTAAATAGCATAACGGGGCAACTCCAGGTACCTATATCTCATATATTAAGTACTACAATGTATTTTCTGAATCGTAAATTAGTGTAAATCGATTGGTACTTTATGCTACAGAGAGTGTGACAGTTTTTATCTCGGGAAAATTTTACGTGTTTTATAAGATCTAAATTACAAATTTAAGCCGTGTGAAACCGCAGAGCACGTCTTGTACTATTATTATAATAATACGTATCCTACATCTCGATACTGAACTGATAAATACTTATAACTTGACAGCGCCAGAGAAATATATAAATAACAAAGTCGTTTGGTGATATCCAATACCTTTTTTTTATTTTGTTATACTATACTTAAGTAATCCCATAAGAAAAAAATGTACCTTGCTGTAAAATCCAAAGAAAACCTTTCTAAATTATTTTTAAATTAGGAGTCATTGTACTAATTTAAAAAAAAAACATTATTTTCAGGTAGCTCAAGCAGCGAAAGCAACTTTGGTATGTATTATAATAATATCATTTAAGCACAAAATATAATTACAATTACAAATGACGGTAAGCTCTGATCCTGACATTGCTGATCTCCATGGGCAACGGTAACTACTCACCATCAGGTAGGCCGTATGTTCAGCTGCCAACAAAGGCAATAAAAAAATGGCTCAAAGATGTTATATATGAGTCGACTATTATCAAAGGCGGCAATCTGACTTTTAGACAATGATTGGTAAATCAGAAAAACGAATTATTGACTTTGTATTCCATTGGCAGTCACGAAACTCTTCGGAACGACATCTTAGATAAATAACAGGTTAACTATTAACCTTTATTTAATGCAGGTTTTGAACCGTATTCTTTGAAGGAGACGATTATATTCAAATAAATCTGTATTGACATATCAATAAAAAAAATTTGTCCAAATGTACAGATTGCCACCTTTGATAATAGACGACTCATATACGAGTAATAGCTTTTTCGAATAATCGTTCTCAAATTGTTCCCTGGGAGCACTAATAACTCAAAATACTATTTTTACCTGCTTTAATACTTTTCAAAGTTTTACACACTTAACGGTATTAAGCACTTTCATGATAATTATTTCCGACTTTGAAGGTAACGTTTGCGGTTCTACAACTAAAACAACAACAACAATAGTTAATGTTTTACCAGAATTCCAAATTTTTTGCGAACCCTTTTTTACTAGATGCCATCCTGCCATTCACTTTTCAAATTCATATCTGTGTTGTTTAAGTATATAACGAAATGGTATAAATGGTATTTTACAGAAACCAATTTCGGCGTGCTGTAACATTCCTGAGTTGGGGAATCCAGAACCTCTCGCAGAATGCTCCAACCCAAAGCTGCCTGGACCTGTAAGTCATTACTTCATTATCTGTATTTTTCCTCTATCAATGAACAAATCTACAACCCATGGCTTAAGTGATTAATAAGTTGCCGCCTCTGAACTTGAGATATGTGGTCTAAGACTCAATTAAATAGAAGAACGGCTGTTCTACCCTTTAAAGAGGGTACACCTTACTTATTCACGGTAGTAGTAGGCACGATAGACAAATATCGCTTTAGTTGTCTTTAACCATGAAAACTGTTAAGTATTCGACACATCGGAAAAATTATAATGAAAATAATCGATGCGAGACTAATACGCATTCTGGAACGGTCCCGTAGCCAAAAAAAAGATTAAGACGTAAAAGTATTTTTAATAATGTATTTCTATTTTTGTGACTGGCTTTTTTATATTGTCGCTTAGTAAAGTATAAACTAAATGGGAAATGTCCCAAATTGCACATCTTAATTTATATAAATTACGTGTCACGTTGTTTGTCCGCGATGGACACCTAAACTACTGAACCGATTTTAACTTCTTTATTTTTTAAAATAATTTTTTATTTCAACTTCGGCCATAGGATGGTTTTTATTTCGATTAATGGTTGCAATATTTATTAATTAACAATAAAATGATTTCTTATGTTGATTATTGTTATTAGTTGTAAGTTTCATAAGTCTAAAACAGATGGCGCCTTAAGCCAGTTTTTACCGACAATTGTAATACTATTTAACATTAATATCTCATAGATGGCGCTGTGTTAAAAATAGCAACGTATCACATAAGCTACAATTTAATGGCATAAACACCACGTGTTGCTGAGGCTAAAGTATAAGTGAAATTTATTTCGTAGTAAACGCAATACAGTGAAGTCTAATAAAACTATATTTGTAACATTTTTGTCTGTCAACAAACAAATAACCAAATTCAGCAATTGTTTTGATCTTTCACAGTGCAAGGACATTCAATGCGTTTTCGAAAAGTCGGGTTTTTTAACTGAAAACAAGACCCTTATCAAGGAAGCATACAAAACGCATCTCCGACAATGGGCGAAAGAGCACGAGGGTTGGTCAGTGGCCGTGGAGAAGGCCATCAGCGACTGCGTTGACAAAGATCTGAGACAGTACCTAGAATTTCCTTGTAGTGCCTACGATGTGTTCACGTGTACCGGAATCGCTATGTTGAAGGTGACGTATTGGGAAATAAAAAGAAGCCATGACCAAAATCCTTATTTCAATCAGTTCGGCTCAATCAACAAATATCTGACATTTTCTTTCCTTTTGAACAGTGGCCGAAACTCATACATTAAGTTTCTGCGCCTATGTAGGTCTTGACGGTCCGCAGATGTTGGGAGCAAACCACAAGCCCAAGGATATTTTTAGGGCCCTACCCATCAAACGACTCCCCTTGCACTCGCCACACATCCGATCCTCACCCGGGGTCAGAACTCGGGTAGAGTAGGGGTCAACATTACAACAAAACTACAACAAAAATCTGACTGAATCTAACCAAAAAATAAGTTTTACATCGTGTAGAAAAATGACACCGGTAAAATTTATAGTAGGGTATATTTAAACCTGTAAGTCAGTAAGTACCGCCATCCTTTGTGCTCTTTTTTTTTCCTTGCTATCCTAGTAGCCTCGACGGGTTATACTAGGTTTATCTAACGTGCGGGCGAGCTCATAGGGCTCTCAACCTGGTGAATTTGGCTAACACTAGCCCTGGCAAGGGCAGCGCTTCGCAGAATCTACCACCGGATCGGAATCGCAATCCACTGAGAAGATCCGGCGAGAATCTCGAAGGGGGCGACAGTCCCTATACCCAATAGAGATTTTGACATTGAAGCGGCGTTAGTTTCGTGGTAACAATAGCTCAGGTAGCCGCTGATATCAGACTGTGAACTTGTATGATAAATATTAATTAACAATATCAAATAGCCAGCTTTAGTTGAAGATTGCGCCGAGGAACACATTCAATCGCGATATTTTAAACACCTTCTCGCATCATCGTTTCAAAACAACACAGCGTTTTTATTTATTTTCCTTTTGTACGGAATAAATTCATATTTATTTAAATTATGTCGAGAGTTATGATACTTTTTGTTTTATTTTCAGAAATGTCCCAACGAACATTGGACCTGCTGAAAGCGAACACTCTAACAATTCCATTGTAACGATTGAATTATTTTTAAATAAACGAATTTACAATTAGTGTAAGTCGAAGTTTTTTGTTTGTCACATTTATTCAATATTGTATTTATCGATTAAAGACGCAAAAAGTCGGATCCAATTTTGAAAAAACTTTTGTTTTTTATTGGGGTCTAAACATCTACCTAGATACCTCTCAATATCCTCTCAATAGTTCCCGTTATAGATTTTGTTTGTTTATTTACAAGTGGTATGGTGTACGCCAACCAGCAATCATGAGTTCTTCTAGCCCACTGAGTTTCTCGCCGGATCTTCTCAGTGGGTCGCGATTCCGATCCGGTGGTAGATTCTGCGAAGAAGAAGAGTACGGCCTACGAGTAGCTCACTCAAATTTTCCCACTGAGTTTCTCGCCGGATCTTCTCATTGGGTCGCGATTCCGATCCGGTGGTAGATTCTGCGAAGAAGAATAGTATGGCCTACTAGTAGCTCACTAAAATTTTCCCACTGAGCTTCTCGCCGGATCTTCTCATTGGGTCGCGATTCCGATCCGGTGGTAGATTTTGCGAAGGCTTACTCTTGCTAGGGCTAGTGTTAGCAAATTCTCTCAGCTTGAGCCCGTGAGCTTACCTACCTGTCCGCGCGTAGCTGGAATGCCCCGTTAGGCTACCAACGAATAGGTAGGAAAAAAATCACTAAAATGTTGCGTTGCTGCGAGACGTTATGTCGAATTTTTAATTTAATGACACGTCGATGGCGCTGCCAACATTACCATAAGCAATTTATTTAACTCGGATACTTAAGAGATTGCGTTAAAAACAATGTTTTATTGTTCTTTAATAATACGAAAATTGCGTAGACGAAATAGTATGAAATTTCCCACACTTATAGAGAATATAGAGAAGGAGTGCAGAATGATAATTGTTAAAGTCTTCCGTCAAATTGAGAATAGATTAATATTGTTTGTCATTAATATTATTTGTATATAGGGTAACCCTTGGCGAAATGGCTGTGATTTTAGAAGTATAGTCTTTGACAATAGAACCTAATAGAAGATAATAATGTTCAAATTAATCTAAACTAATTATGGTCGAATTTCGGTCGACCACTAGTTGTTCTAAATTTATCACAATGTTATAAGTTCTCTAAGTGTGATATTTGTGAATTAAAAGCCGAAAACACTTAATTATCTGACAGATATTTGTCGACGAATGCATACCGAACTAGTTTGGACTAATACAAAGAGAAGTCTAGAAGGCCGTAATAAAACTTCATGCTTGGTGACCAGGCCTGATCTCCTTGAAGACATCCGTTACATTGACACCATGCTTTGTTTGAACTATGTGATAGTTTATTATATATTTGTTTTTATATTTTAATATTTCAAGACAAGATTTTTATGTCTTCATTACTTTGACTACAAAGCGGTCTCAAGTTATTTGGTCAAATAGGCTTTTTTTTTCTTTTTTTTTTATTGCTTAGGTGGGTGGACGAGCTCACAGTCCACCTGGTGTTAAGTGGTTACTGGAGCCCATACACATCTACAACGTAAATGCGCCATCCACCTTGAGACATAAGTTCTAAGGTCTCAAGTATAGTTACAGCGGCTACCCCACCTTTCAAACCGAAACGCATTACTGCTTCACGGCAGAAATAAGCGGGGAGGTGTTACCTACCCGCGCGGACTCTCAAGAGGTCCTACCACCAGTAAGCGTCTTTGCGTCAATATTCCTCAATGCTGAGGCCTCATGAGGTTTTCTTAGGAAAATGCAGATAGTGGGGTCCCGCGTCCTTCCACGGCAGTATTTTTGGAAGAGATCTGGTTCTTCGAGGCCGCTGAAGGCTTATTTGGGTCCGGCTTATTAACTGCCGCCAGATATTTGGCGTTGACTGTTTTACGGTGAAAGATCTAACTCCAACTCAACCCTCTTCTTTTCTCATGCGGGCTTGAGACCGGCATTGGCAGGGTTGTCAATATCAACAAGAGGACATTGCACTCTTTTGCCCTTCTAAAACTATAATGGCAAGAATCCCATTTAACCATAGCATTGTTTTGCTTGGTACTGGCGTTTTAAGTAACCACTTAACACTGGATATGCCGTCGACGCATCTAATCCAGCATAAATATAATAAGAATATAACAATTTTATTATTATTAGTGATACTAAGATATTGAAAATTATCTATTAGAAATTATTGACAGTTTTGTTATATACAGAATATTTGCTTTATACAAATCAATGTCAAAGACCATCATAATATGCGTTCTTAGATTGTAATTATCTACAGAACTGTCTGAGGAAAGCGTAAACACGCCGATAGTTCATTGTTCTATGCGTTCTATGAGCATTGGCCAATGATTGAGGTCTCACATTTCAAGCAACAGTTAAACAACACCAGGCCTGGTAATTTTGGTTTTAATTCTCACCAATCAAATACCTTAATATACGATAGGCAATGTTAATGTTGAGAGGTCGATTAAGTGTGGTCAATTGTAAACTCAAGGCCCTGAGAGCACTTGACACTGATTCACCAGGCGTGATGGATTTCCTTGAGGACATCCGTCACACTTACGGCTTATTGTCTTTGTTATTCATGTTTGTTGATCATTAAAATGTTATTTTCACTAAATTCGGGTTTTTGAATTGTCGAAAAAATAGTGTTATAATTATATAGTTATAATGATGTTGGATATTCCAAAATAAATAAGCAATAAAAGACTTAATTGCATTATCTGTTATTTGTACCTATAATGAGAAAACAACATTTAAAGCCCTTAATCTAAGAAAATCAATACTTTTAAACAAACTGACCCATATACTGAATGTCAAATTTCACTGAATGACATAATATAAGAAAATCCTTTTTAGAAAACTAAAGAGTTTTAGACTATGAAGGTTTTACTTTACAATAATTAAAAAAAAAATTCAATTAATTTGTTCTTATTGCTTCACGCAGATGAACGAGCTTATTGATCATCTGGTATTAAGTGCTTACCGGAGCCAACGGACATCAAATAGCGAATGTCACAACCGACGAATAACTGCTCCGCGGTAGAAACGGGAATATGGTGGTACCGAATATACCCGTGAGCGTTAGAGAGTAGCTCATATCTGCACCAATTGTATCCGTCATTAGCAAGAAAATATCTTCGAAGACCGTTAGCATTCTATAACATTAGAGTAAATACACAAAGAAGAGGCAAAACTTCTGGTGACGGAGCGAAAGGTATTGAGAAAAATACTAGGACCAGTTCGGAAAGAAGACGGTTCTTGGCACGTCCGAAAAAATAAGGATGTGGAGAGGCTTTTTGGTGAGCCAAATATTCTGGGGGAGATGAAGGCACGGAGGCTCGGATGGCTCGGACATGTAGTACGTATGGAGCAGGATCGGGCTGTGAAACGGGTGTACACGGGTGTACCGGAGGGACGCCGCCCCGTAGGGAGGCCCAAGTACCGCTGGTGTGACGCTGTGGAAGGAAATTTACGGGAGCTCCAAGTGTCGGACTGGCAAGGTGTTGCGCAGCGCCGGGATGAATGGCAAAGTTTATTGTCGGAGGCCAAGACCCACTTCGGGGTCATAGCGCCAGCTCAGTAGTAGTAGTAGTAAATACACACAGCAGATTTTGCTGTAACTCTACACGCGTATTTCATGACACACAAGAAAAAACTTAACTATTTCTTCTTTCTTTTTTTATTGTTTAAGTGGGTGGACGAGCTCACAACCCACCTGGTGCTAAGTGGTTACCGGAGCCCATCGGGTACTTAAGTCTGACCCTTAACATTTCGGGAGGCAGCGGCTTGGTTCTGCCCCTGGCATTGCTGACGTCCATGGGTAACCACTCACCATCAGAGCGTGTGCTCGTTCTATCTACAAGGTCAATAAAAAAATATAAAAAAATTCAAAACTCAGATTCATGCGGAAAATTCCCACGAAACCACATTGAAAATCACCGATCATTATAATATTGCATTATGACGACATAACACGTAAATTTAGCAACAGGAAACGCCTAAATAAATAATGGATTGGATTTTGCTTTAATGTCCTACCTACATTTTACAATAAATTCGTGAATTTAGCCGTGCAAAAATCATATAACTGAATGCCGTTTAATTTGTGATTATCGTTTCAGTTACAGAACATTCATTATTACTACGGGAACAAACGCAAGCACATACTGGTGGTAGGACCTCTTGTAAGTCCGCGCGGTTAGGTACCACCACCCTGCCTATTTCTGCCGTGAAGCAGTAATGCGTTTCGGTTTGAAGGGTGGGCCAACCGTTGTAACTATACTTGAGACCTTAGAACTTATATCTCAAGGTGGGTGACGCATTTACGTTGTAGATGTCTATGGGCTCCAGTAACCACTTAACACCAGGTGGGCTGTGAGCTCGTCCCCACATCTAAGCAATAAAAATAAATAAAAAAAATCGGTTTTGATTTGATATTTCTCACCGTTTTCATATTCAACCTGCGGCTGTACCATGATGTCTATAGCAGGTCGACTTTAACTCGAATTTGCATTATCCTGTTATTTCATACCACGACTGTGATAAAAGACTAGCCAGGGAGCGACCACGGGACCTAAATCGGTCAGAGGGCAAGTGACTGCATTTTGGAGTGCTGTCATGCCCTAACCTGAAGCCAACCCTGTAATCCTACAGATTTCGTTGAAGCATTGACTTACTTAGATGCTTCTGCCGTATTTATGGATGAGAACATGTCCTACCAAATAGCATTTGTATGTATAGTCATCATTACGATTCTGTGAAGCAGAACCTACTTTACTTCACACTGTTTCGTTGTAGCGCGAAGCCGCCCTAAAGATGTCCTATCGAATCCTCCCAATCCACTCTCGGTCCTCTTCGGCTCTCCAAGCACCGCTCCCGTCCTCGTCGAGCTCGTCGATTACGACGAAGATCCCAAGCTGAGCCACATGAGCTCACCTATCGATCCTCGCGTAGTTAGAATAGCACCTTAGACTACCAACGATTAAGTAGGAAAAAAGTACCTTCTATCTCAAAAGTCAGGGTAAGCAACGGCGACATGGCGTTAATTGGTCGCCAGC